TGAATGAATCAAGCCTGCTTTTCACTTATATAGTTTTAATACATCCCTCTGTTGAATAAAATATGATAAAGGCACAAAAGGTGGCGGCGGCGGCGGCGGTGGCGGCGGCGGTGGCGGCGGCGGTGGTGGGGTCGAAGAGTGCAATAATCTGATCTGATTGATTGAAATGGTTCTGCAGCTCATTTGCATATACACTTTGATTGGTCGAAAATGTTCTGCTGTAAAACTGTTAACGTTAGCATTTTTTATTATTTATCTTGTAGGTGTTTATATTTTTATCAGTGGCATGTTAAATTAACAGATGCCTATTAAAGCGTGTTATTTTGTATAGTGGGTGGGTGTCTATTTTGTGAAAATGGCTTAAACTCCAAAAATTAGCAGAAATCGATCAACAGTGACTGAAATCGCCGAAACGTGACACTTCAAAAAATACTTTAAAATGACCCAGGAGTAAGAATCAAGTGATCGTTTGGTAAAAGAATGCCTCAAACTCCAGGAATCACCAAAAATCACTCAAGCGTGAAAATTGTAAAAATGCTCTTAAATGTATCGGGAGTAAGAATACTGTGTCCATTTGGTGATTAAATACCTCAAACTCAAGAAATAAGCGAAAATCACTCAAGCGTGAAGATTGGAAAAATATTCTAAAATGACTCCAAAGTAAGAATCAAGTAATCGTTTGGAGAAAAAATTAGCACAAATTGATCAACTTGACAATTTAAAAATATTCTAAAATAACTCAGGAGACTTTTTGGTTATAAATATTCAATACCTGTCTGAACTTGTTAAATTGTGCAGAAATTCTCCTCTATTGGGTGATTTTCTTTTATCTGATTGGATGAGAATATACCGCAACCCGATTGGTTAAAATTATTCTGAAACTCTAAACATAATTGGTTAAAATAATCCAAACATACTGTGCCCTGATTGGTTAAAATGATTCTGCAAGTCAAAACCTGATTGGTTAAAAATTACTGTACTCTGATTGGTTAAAATAATTCTGCAAGCTAAAACCTGTTTGGTTGAAATGGTTCTGCAGTTATCTTTTTTACTATTTTATCAGTTTGTTATCAACCTTTGACCTATAACAATGAAACATCCATGAACTAGACAAGATAGCTCATCACATAGTCACCAGGTTACCTTTGCAGTGTTTGTTTGAATATCTTATCAATTGAGCTCTCTCTTATCAGTTATCAGTAACCTTTGACCAGTTATATCAGTAACCATGTGACCCATGACATCATTTCTGTGCATTGGGCATAGAACTCAAACCTATGTTCTTTTATCAATTATCAGTAACCTATGTCCAGTTATATCAGAAACCATGGTAGTTATCTTTTTCACTGTCTTATCAGTTTATTATCTCTCTCTTATCAATTACAGTAACCTTTGACCAGTTATATCAGTAACCATGTGACCTATGACGTCACTTCCACTTCCGGTACATCGTCTTATCTTTTTTACTGTTTTATCAGTTTGTTATCCACCTTTGACCTATAACAATGAAACATCCATGAAGTAGACAAGATAGCTTATCACATAGTCACCAGGTTACCTTAACAGTGTTTGTTTGATTATCTAATCAATTGAGCTCTCTCTTATCAGTTATCAGTAACCTTTGACCAGTTATATCAGTAACCATGTGACGTATGACATCATTTCTGTGCATTCAACTCAAACCTATGTTCTTTTATCAATATAACCTTTGTCCAGTTATATCAGAAACCATGGTAGTTATCTTTTCACTGTCTTATCAGTTTATTATCTCTCTCTTATCAATTATCAGTAACCTTTGGCCATGTTTTTCACTGTCTTATCAGTTTATTACCTCTCTCTTATCAATTATCAGTAACCTTTGACCATCTTTTTCAGTGTGATATCAGTTTATTATCTCTCTCTTATCAGTAACCTTGACCAGTTATATCAGTAACCATGTGACCTATGTCGTCACTTCCACTTCCGGTGCAGTCACTTCCGGTGCACCATCTTACCACGTGATCTATGACGTCACTTCCGGTGCACCACTTCCGGTGCACCATGGTGTATGGTGCAGGTGCAGGTTGTAGGTCGAAAGGCCCGCCGTATACTACTACCATTTGTACAGCAAAAGCATTGATCTGATCTGATGTTTTTGTGTACTGTTTTGTAGAATTACCATTTTATACAAGGCATTTTCACGAATAAGTGACACTTTTCCATTTCAAAATGTCCAAAAATTTTTTTTTAGTTTTTCTTATTGTTTATGAAGATTTTTACACTTTCGTATGTCGGGCTTCTGATGATGTAAAAATTCCTAAGTATCCGCATCTGCAAATTTACAAAAAACTGTCATCTTTATAGGTACTAAAATTGGCATTACGGACAATTCACTCTCAATATGCTCAAAAACCAAAATTCAAAACAGGAATATTTTTGTTTCTGACATATATTTTTAAGTCTTTTATCATTGATAACACATTTTGTACAACAATTAGCTGCGAAATTTAAAGAAAAAGTACAATTTGATTTGAACATGTCTCCTTCATCACTTAATGAATTAGATTTTACAAAATAAAGTCACATAATTAGATAAATTCACATTGCAGCCCCCAAAAAAGTATCAAATTTTGTGGATCATTCCATGGTCTTTTAATTGCTATCCACTGAATTATCTGTGTTTGTTTCAAAATCTGTCAATTTATGTTTAAATAATGAAAGAGATTGCATTACGGACACCTCAAATTTGCTTGTTTTAAATTCTTTTCAGTATTAGGTCGCAAAAGTAAGTTTTGTTTGAAGATGTATATATACAAAAACCTTTTCATAACAATTATTGATCAAAATAATTGAATATGTATGGTTAATGAACTTTATCTAGCCTCCTTGCCTAGGTAAACAATATACATGTAGACATACATTGAATTTTACAAAGAAATATATGATTTAACAGCATATACTTTACATTGAGCAAGATAACAAAAGGAAAACAATCTGTACCTGGACTGAACATTTTAAGAAGTGAAATCACTTGGATATGGTCCTATTTAATTATTTAATTAATTATAGTCATTTTATCTCAAACATTATGGATCTCAGTTTACCTCTTATTACTATACTCTTTTTTGTGTTGAAATTTAGTATGTTTTGAATAGAATGTTATGTGGTAATATCATTCTATTGGAACCATATTACTGTTTTAGTTTTGTCCAACAAATGAGTCTTGCTTCAAGACACATATCCTGCCAAGCCAGGCAATTCAAATAAATGAACACAAGCTTAAGGAAAGAACAAGTCAAGGTAAAAAATTGACTACACTACAAACTTCAAGGTGTAGTATATCAAATGACACAAACAATTTAAAATAAATATATATAATCAAAAATGAATTATGCTTTTCATATATTTAACCAAAATGAACTTGAAACACCCTTGCTGCTGTTTTTGGGTACTTGCTGTTCTTTGGTCTAGTTGTCACAAAAGATTAAAACTCATCATCTCCACTAGATACAATTAAAGAACATTGTGTTTATATGAATTACAAATATCATGGTTTTGGATGCAATGCTTTTTTGATACTTCATGAGTTGTTTCAGAATGTGTTTTCAGAATAAACTCATTTCAGTACAATGCGTTTAAACCTTTGGACTATTATCACTATTAGATATATTGCCTTTCAAGTGCAACATTTTTAACTTTTTCTTTCTGGTACATGTTTCCTCTTATTTTCTTTTGTTGGTTTGTATTTTGAACCTAATATCTTTTTCCTCCTCTGCATACTTTGTTTTCTCCATTTTTTACTCATAAAGGTTAATTACTACTTTGAAAATACATTATTTTTGCTATAAACATTAAATCAATAGGCTTGAGGTGTCCGTAATGTTTTTTAAAAACTATTTATTCTTTTTATTTGTTTCTATTTATTTAAAAAAGCTAAATCTGGTTTTGACTCGATATGCCTAGTCAAGACTTGGAATTTAAAATCAATTTTAATTAGTTTCTGCCTCATTTTTAATCAGCACTGATGTTTGTAAAATGGACCCCTATAGCTTATGGTAAAAAAAATTTCAAATATTTTCAGTGGCAATACCAGTTTAGATTTAATAAACATGTGTAGAGAGACACTTGGGAAGTATTCAACAGTGATTTTGGGGATAAAGTAAGCTAATTCTACAATTTGAATTGAGAAACTAGGTAGCATTACGGACACCTCACTAGATTTTAGACACCATATCTGCTTCTGGATCAGAAAGTAAAAGGTCAATCACTGTTAAATTATTATTTCATTGATAAGTTATGTTCATTTAATTGAAAAATAAGAATAGTTAAGATATAAGTACTGTGTAAATTGTAGAAACTTTGTCATTACGGACACCTCATGGTTTGTGACTCCTAAAAAATGATTCAGAACTTTTATTTGCTATTTGTTAATTAATTAATTCCAAGTGAAAAGCTTTTTATAAGTTATACATGAATATGTTAGCTATTCAAAATCATTTTATAAGAAGGAAAATAATCAGCTACAGATTTTCTGTGTTAAAAAACATAAAATACCTCTCCAAAAAATGGAAAGGTGTTACAGAGTAGTCATGACATAAAAACGGTTATAACTTGGGCAATATGACAGTGTTTAAAACAATTTAAAAAACATATTAAAGATAAATGATTTAGCTACTACTTGGTATAAAATTGTCTACCTATCTATGATATTAGCCCTTCGGTGATCATGTAAACATGGTCACAATTGAAGTGAAATGCTTGTTACACCAAAAAACAGCATATTTTGGGTCATTACTTGTTGATATTTAAAATAAGCAATAACATATTGTATTTTTTCATGATGTGCATATAAGAACATTATGATACCAACTTCTAGAAAGCATTGTTTTTCTTTTATACCTTAAATTGAATAAGTAATGATGCTGTTACAAAAAAATACTGAAAAGTGTCACTTATTCGTGAAAATGCCTACAGCATAAGGCAAGAGCTGATGTCTCAATTCTGTTTTTGTGTACTTGTAGAATTACCATTTGTACAGCATATTCACCTATGACCACAACTGACTGCAGTAGTCATGGCAATGACTCTTCAACAACAATAAATGGTCCAATAGAATCCAACAGAATCACTGACCTACTCCTGACTCAATCTCCATGGCAAGGTAACCCTTTTCTACATTTGATGTTCGGTTTAAAATATCCATTCATTACATAAATAATATCTAGGTGAAAGGAGTGGTATTGATATGGAGAACTGAATTCAACAATGTTTTTCTCTCAAATCAATTATTGAAAACATTCTGTAAAAAAACACAGTGCTTTATGTAATGTTGACTGATTGGCAACAATTTAATGCAAAAAATATTTAGAAATATTTTGTATAACTGTTTTTGTTAACATTTTTTTTGTTTTTTTAGTGCAATTGTTCCCCAAAATCCCCCGAAAATAGATAATAATCAAGATACACCTTTTATTTCATTAACAAGATACTTTTTTAAAATCAACCAACATTTCCTTTTTACAATTACAATATTGAGAGACCTAAACATGTTGTGTTTATGTCGTTTTGTTCCAATGAGGTTCGGAAAGATGTTTCATTTCACTCTGGAAACATGATACCAAGAACAAAACAAGTGTTTGGTGTGTTTTCTAAAACAATATAGATGAAAGTATATATATATTTTTCAAATTATATTGTTTCCATTTAAAAGATGACCATTAGATTGACGATGTGTTAAATTTTTAGATTTTTTTATGACAGGTTTAAGAGAAATGTGTGTTCAAAAAGTTCTCAATATCAATACCACTCCTTTAAGTGAAATTGCCACCTTACCCTGAAAGCTGAGACTAAAGATTTGTTCACCAAGTGGAATGTTGCTAGCCCCAAAATTTGGGAACAAGCCTTAGGATGTATCACAATCCTTGTACACAGTAGTTTTGAAACTGAATACTCATGAACATTTTTATGTGAAACTTGAAATATGATTCAAGAAAAGAGAATACCCCCGAATTCATAGTTGAATCCTAGTTTATCCTCTTGTCCTCTTGTTTGATCTGAAGGAAGTTAGGATAAAAAAAGTATTTGTGAACTTGTCCCAAGTATTTATGAATTTATCACAAGTATTTGTGAATTTATCCCAAGTATTTATGAATTTATCCCAAGCATTTGTGAATTTATCCCAAGAATTTATGAATTTATCCTAAGTACTATTTATGAATTTATCCCAAGTATTTGTGAATTTATCCCAAGAATATATGAATTTATCCCAAGAATTTATGAATTTATCACAAGTATTTATGAATTTATCCCAAGTATTTGTGAATTTATCCCAAGTATTTGTATCCATTTGCTTGTTTATTTTAGTTTGAGTTCAGCAGTATCTGGGAACAATGAGCGCATGGTGGGATTATTGGTGGCTGTCCCAGGCAGTGTTTCTCAAAGAGAGTTAGATGAGGCTTTACTTCAGGCCTGTCGTCTTGGCCACAAACAATGTCTGGAAATACTATTGAGTGCTGGTAAGAGATGACATATTGTTATTACAAACTTTTGATGTGATTGGCGGTCTGTTGTTTGTGAGAAGTGAGATGAACATTTTTGTGACAAATGTTTGTATTAGATAATAAAAATATAATGTTTGATTGACACAGTTTTTTTAATTGAATTACTCAGATGCGAGTAGGTAGTTACCCGTTTCGCCACCAGGTGGCTGATTCGGGGGAAATAACATGGCGGGGTATTACAAAATTCCCTTAAACTTGAATATGCATCAGTTTTAGTGGTTCACTTTTCAAATTACCCTTATGTATGTGAGACTGGCATTTCAAAATGTCAAGATGTATTTTCAATGCAGATATTTTTAGCTCACGTTATCAATTGATTCAAGTGATGAAAGCTGATCATATTGTTGCATTGCCTTTGACTCAATTTGGCCTCAGCCTTTTCAATTTTCAACTTTTCCTTTTTCAATTTGGCCTCAGCCTTTTCAATTTGCCTCACCCTTTTCCATTTTCAACTTTTCCTTTTTCAATTTGCCTCACCCTTTTCAAAGTCTCAAAGGTTTGACTCGCCTTTTTCAATTTTTTGCCTCACCTTTTTTAATTTGCCTCACTCTTCAAAGTTTTGCCTCGCCTTTTTCAATTTTTTGCTTTGCCTTATCATTTTGCCTCGCCTATCTTTGCTACAACCCCGACTCTGCATTTACTTTCAGCCTCTGGCTGGATCTGATTCTGCTTTTAATGCTCTTTTGATTATGTTTTATTCAAGGGGCTGACATTCACCAAAGTGACACCCAGGATAGAACTCTTCTACATATCGCTGCATCTGAGGGTCATACTGACATCATTGATACATTGCTGTCATTTGAACATTGTGACATCGATGCTAGATGTCAGCAAGGGACAAGTTTACATATGGCAGCACGTATGGGGCATATTGACTGTCTTAAACGGCTCGTAAATGCAGGTAAATTGAATTATTTTTTTCTTTTTTATTTCTCTATTCAAACATGACAAGTAAAATAATTAAAAACAGTTCAGCTTTTGAATTCTTGAATTTCTTGTTTTTTTCAAACTAAAATGTGTTTAATAATACAGATATACAAATGATTTGCTCAAAAGCCTATGAGATTTGAAAAAAATACCCATGTTTGATCCCACAGAAGGCTAGAGGAAGCCATCTGTTGGTTCGTCTATCTGTTGATTTATTTATTTGACTGTTTTAGTGGTAATTCAAATACCGATATTGCATAATTAATTGAAAATATGTTATTCTGTGTTAGAAATGCTGATACCATGTATCTGGCGTTCAGAATCTGTAACAAATGGCTGGTGGTGACATTTTACATGTTAATGCCTTTGTTAATATACTGGAACTCCAATTTGAAGGTGCTATTATTTTGTGTTTTTGGTGTTCATTTTTTGTATTGAAGGTCCAGATATTTTGAAAATGCTAATATTTGTATTTCAGGTGCTAACATAGATGCAGTAGATCAATCAGGAAGCACTGCTCTGGTTCTTGCCACAAAAAATATAAATCGGGCACGACCTATTGCACAGTACCTCATTGAAGCAGGGTGTGATTTAAATGCACAGGTATGATTAAATGCATAGGTATTATTAAATGGACTGTTATGATTAAATGCACAGTTATGATTAAAATGAACAGGTACAGTATCATTAAATGCACAGTTGTGAACCCCTCACTGAACACCAGTAAATTCATTTTTATAAAATTGGTCTACGGTCATTTTAAGAAATGCCTCGAGAGTTTATGGGGTGCTGGAGAAAGGTAACTGCTACATGTTTGATAAAGGACGCTGTAATTTTGAAAACATTTCAGAAAAAACATGTGGGTGGGTTGTTTGCATATACTCTGTCTCAAAGTTGAAATTATTTTATCATCTCAAGAAGTGATTTTCCTGGAGGTAATGCATTTGCCTAACATATGCACCTGTTTAAATCCCCAGGAAATGGCCAAAATCAAACATATGACTGTCCAAAATCTGTTGCGCTAACTTCCCTCCTCCTTTACAGAATTGTGGATTTTCCAGTTACATTAATTTTCACTAAGATTTGATTCCCAAATATAAATGGCAAACTGAGTTTTTAATGCCAGCAGGGAAGGCAGAGTTGAAATTATTGCTTGATAGTTTTCTTTACATTTGGTAGATAAAGGACGATTCTCGGTTTGGAGAACAGTCTCCTGGGCTAATATTTTTTTCATGAAAAATATAGAAATATTACCCAAATTAAACTATGAATATTCAAAAGAGGACATTTAAATCTACAAGATGTAAAAATAACAAATTGGTCTGAAGCAGGGATAACGCTCAATTAGACCGATTTAATAAAATACTCGATCTCGATTTGGGGAAAGAAGTTCATCAGTGTACTGCGCTAATATTTTTTTGCGAAAAATCTAGAAATATTACCCAAATTAAATTATCACTATTCAAAAGAAGACATTCAAATCTATATTATGTAAAAAAAATTAAATTAGTCCGAAGCAGGGATAATGCTCATTTAGATTGATGAACTTCGTTCTCCAAACCGAGAATCGTCCTTTCTAGAAGTAGATAGAACATCTAGTCAATTTGTGCCTATAACATCAAATTTGATTGGTCCTAAAATGTTATCATTTTCTGTAATTCGATACCACATAGGCAAATTTTAAATTTTTTTGCAATTTGATATCAAGTAAGCCTATTTTTACCTCTTTTTCAGATTTTTCAGATTTTTTATTAAATGTTTCAGGATAAATGTTTAAAAACTGCCCTGCATTATGCTTGCAAGAAAGCATTTGGTGTTGATCTTCTACTAAATGCTGGTGCCAGAACTGACCTCTTAGATGAACATGGTAAGTCTGTTTTTTATTATCTTTCGTGACAGTAAAATTTTGAATTTTATTGGATTGTGGATGGTTAAATATTAAAATAATTAACATGTGCACACCTTTTTGAAAAATTATAGTTTTTTTTCATTCTTAAGTTCTTATTTATATTGAGATTAAATATACATTACAATCTGTGTTAGTGGAGTACATTAATATAGTATTCCATTTTGAATATTTATTTTAAAAAACCTTAAAGCCCAACTGCCAGATTTTGACTCTTATGTTAACGTTGTTGATTTCTTGGTTTTATGACAAAAATAAAATTTATCTGGGAGGCGAGAAATTCATTAAGTTTCAGTGTGGGTCTTAGGAATTTTCTATTACTCGCCAATTGCCAAGTAACTTGTGTTTTTACACTCGCCAGTGAAAAATTACGTTTGCCAGTATATATCTTTGTTTTCAAAACTTTCAGTTTTAGGGCTTGAAAAGTTGGAAGATAGATGAAAACCCGTGTTTATAGAATTTTTAGAACTAAATTGGAATAATCTTTTATTTTGTATAATGATTTTAGAAATATTTCAGATTGAAACTAATTGATCATTCTGTTTCAGGAAATACTTCTATAATCTATGCAGCTACCGAAGGATTCTGCGGTGTGATTAGGGCACTTTGCGAGGCTGGAGTTGATGTTAATGTTGCAAACACGCAAGGCAAGACCGCCATGCATTATCTTGCGCAGAAAGGACATAAGAAATGCTTACAACATTTAATAGATGGCGACGGTGATCTTAATCAGCCAGATAACCATGGAAATGTCCCACTCTGGTATGCAATCGTAGGACGTAGACCGGAAGCTGTTAGATGTCTCCTTAAGGCAAATTGCATGCTGGGTAATATAAATGGATTGCGGATGGATAATCTTATTGGATACGCATTAGAAAACAGATTGTTCGATATTGTGTTGATGTTACTCATCGCAGGTTATGAAGTTGCCGATTTGAAATTCTGGCTCCTTAACAATGATATGCCTGAAGAATTCAAAAAGGATGATCACATCGAACACTTTGTTTATGAAATGTTAACAGGACCGCATACTCTTCGTCAGCTTTGCCGGTTGTTTTTTCGTCGATTGATGTGCAGATATCTGATGGCTAAACACCACCATCTGCCCCTTCCTCAGACTGTACTGGACTATCTTACTCTCAAAGAGTTGGACGACTTCCATTTCCAGAAAGGAGATTGATCTATAAAAAATTTAATACAGTGAAACCTGTTAAGTGGAATACCTCTAGAAGTGGAACAAGTCTAGAAGTGGAACACCCCTGTTAGTGAAACACTTCAGAATCCCAAGACCAACTGACCAACGAAACAAAGATGTTCCACTTAGACAGGTTTTACTGTATGTTTATCCAATATGATGGATGTGTTAGATGGGGATGGATATTACAAATATCCTATCCTAAATGGAAATGAAAATTCAGAAGATTGTACAGTAATCCATAATCCATAATAATATTAATCATTTGTTTAACGTTTTCGTGGAATGATATGAAAGTGATCTTTAAAGTAATTCCAGTGTGAAGCCATGTATGAATATGTCTCTGGAAATGTGTTAAGGAATACGACTTATTCCTAAATTTAAGAATACTGTTATTCCACATGTTAGAGAATGATTTGAATGGCAATTTAGTATTATTTTTGCCACCGACTGCTGTGTGTTTATGGCTATGAATATGATCCATTCTTAAAATTAAGAATAGAATCATTGCCTTTGTTAAATAATTACTTGGTAAATCTGAAACATAGGATCAAATAATATCCTATACGATGCTATTCATATCCTATGATGGCATTTAACAATTTAAAGGGACACCTAGTCTTTGCTTAAACCTTACATATGTGAAGCAATAAAGGTCATATAAATAATACCCCTTGCTACCTGTATGGAAATACCTCTTTAATAGATAAATCTCTATACTTACAAGGTGGTGACATTTTGTCATGTTAATGCCTTGTATATATGCAATATAAACACTAATACTATTCAAAACTAATTTTAGTTTTAAATGTGCATATTTATCTAGTCATAATTTAATAATGTAAGAAAATAGAGACAGGTCTCTTTAAATATGAATCTCTATGCATTTGCCCATCAACTATGCATTTTATATGTAAATTATATATATATTATTAAAAAAAAATTTTGTGTTATAAAATGTACAAATATATCTAGTCATATTTCTCCTAAGAACAATGTTACCTTTTTGTCACCGGTACAAAAAAGTATCAAATGTCAAGTATTGAAATGGTCTATCATAGCTGAAAAGGTAAACAATAAGACAACATTTTTGTAATATAAAATTATGGTTGATAAATGATGGACTTCATGTGACAGGTGTCATGTAAATTGACATATTTGATTGGAAATTATGTTTGGTAATTTCATACCGATTATTAGTAGACCCTCGATTTACGCACTGCTGTTGAATAATCTCGAGTATGATTATTACACTAGCATGCGATTGTGAATTTTTTAATTTAGTTTTTAATGTAGTGCTTTATTCAATAGCAATATCCACAGTACCACAAACCGGAATGAATAAATTAATATTAATATAAAACTATATTCACGCATGTTTATTTGAAAGAACTTCCATACAAAAAATCTTCAGTTCAACTTTGACGAAGTGGATGCCTCGCCTATGTCTGTATGTCCTGCTATAGCTGTAAACAGTATTATATTACTGTAAACAGTATTATATTAGTGTTAACAGTATTATAGTAGTGTAAACAGTAATAACAGTAAGTATACTAAATAGTCATGGAACTACATGTACTGTTTTAGTTAGGTGAACTTATGTTTATAATATTCGTGCATATTATATAATAAGTTATACATTTGAACACAGGTCCGAAGCCAGGATTTGTCAAGGGGGATTCACGTTTCGAAAAATTCCAGAGGTTCCAAAAATGGCCAAAATCACTCGAAAAGTGCTCAGAATAACACTGGAATAGCCTGACAACGGTTAAGTCAGATACCTTGTCACAAATGGCGGGAATAACCTTCGCTTCAATAAGATTTTCATGAATTGTATGTTTAAAAGAGCACCTGGACTAAATTCCTTTGGAATAACACTCAAACAAAGTATCTTTATACTCATTGTACAGTTAATAATGTTCGACCATCAAAAAAAACTCTTTAATTTAACCGATCAAAAATGAGATACGAGACAACGGACACTGTATTACCATGTGCCGTTGTCTTTGTAAATCATTTCAAATTCAGATTCCGTTGTCAAATTTCATATGATACATCATCACAAGAGCTTAATACATGCGCAGAATTACCGACGATAAAATCCCATGAAATGAGAACCAAGTGATCAGAGTTAAGCGACGGTTAGGTCGCCATTTGTGACAACGGTATCTGACTTTACCGCTGTCAGGCTATTCGAATGTGAATGGTGAAAAACTGCATGATGTAGAGAGCTTTTTTTGGCCCGGCGGGGGGGGGGGCTTAATGAAAACATTTTACAATCTCTTCCACATTTTCCGACGCAACACCATTTATATTTGGACCATCCGAAGTGTTTGCACAAAGTCAAGTATCATTTTAATTTTTTATTTACAGTTAGTTAGTTAGTAATGATAATCAACGGCGGCATCATATGTCTTAAAATTAGAGATATCGAAGTATTTTACCACGAATAAGTGCCACTTATAGGCAAAGTTAAATTCCTCTAGCCTATTATACTTCACATGAAATTAAGAAAAAAAATGAATTCAAGCAGAAACAACGGAACAATTTTCAATATAAGGGCAAATATAGACTTTGCCCCAAGGGACTCTTTTTACATATTACCTTTTTAGAACATATGAATGCTAGGTTCTCCGGATCCGGGAGGTATACTTTTCTTTCCCGCTAATTGTCATTGTACAAGTCTTAGACATCATACATTGATCATAGCGAAGATTGATAACTAATCGCCGTAAGAAACATTTTGATCAAAATCCTAACATCGTTTCAAGTTCAAACATTTTCTGTGAAGCTTCTTGGGTCTTATTTTCTAAAGTTTCAATTTTGTCCTGTACATTATCAGAAAATCTAACAATGTCTGGTTTAAGGGAATATTCAATGGCAAGATCTTCTTGGTATAAATTATGTTTATATTCTAGTGTCCGAATTTGTGTTTTCACTGTAAGTTGCTCCAACCGTATGGCATGCAGTTCGGCAAGCGTTGTCTTATATTCAGCTGATTCAGATTCTAACAAATGTAAATCCATCATCAAGCTTTTTTCCTCGAGGTTTCTCGTTTGAATGGTCTTAGTCAAGGAAGCTATTGTCCTGTGTGTCTCTAGTATGTTCGATTCTAGCTCATCGGTCCTTTTTTCTCGTACCCACAACATCTGTAGGTCTTGTGTCAGACATTCTATATCCTTCTCGTTTTCAGCGACGCTCTTTGAGAGGTCCTTTATTTCGTTCGCCAAAGCCTTCTTCCTTGCACTCTCTTTAAACAGTGTACGTAAATCTGCGTCGGTGCTACTGCGTTTCTTGTGAAGAATTCCACGGGCTAATGTACATGCTGTTTGGAGCTTTGTTAAAGATTCTATGAAGAAAGAGTCTAGTTTAACGTTCATGGATTCTTCAGCTTGTTCAGTGTTTTCACAATGACACGTTCCTTTCATCCTGTACACTCTAGACGGTAAAAGGTGATTGGTATTGGTCTTAAGTTCTTCAATGACTAACGTCAATTCCGACGCTTCGTATTTGGCAAGAGAATGACAAATCCCCAGATCCAGAACGAGGCCATTTTCCAATTTGTGCTTATCTGTCAAAAGCGGATTGAAAATATTGTCGATGAATATCTTAAGTAGTCTTTTTATGTATTCTAAATTATCCAGATACCATTTGAAATACACAAGAACTGTACTTGAATCTAAGTTCTCAGACTCGTTTTCTTGGGAATGATTCTCTAATTTGTCAATTGCAAGTTGTAATTGGCGCACTGAATTTATTTTACTTAGTTTATCGTCTCGCTGATAAGTGTTGATGTGTTGATTGGGAGTTGTACGCATGCGTTCAGACAGTGTCGTCTGCGTTGGCTCATTTTGTGTCGTCTGCGAGTGTTCGGGAGAAGTCACATGGAGAAGTGAATCCAATACGTGTAGCATGTGAGCGATGGTACTCGTAGTCGTCTGGTAAAATTTACGGAAGCAGGAATCGATCTTCATTTCGAATGAATGAATCTCCTTCTCTGTCTGAGAAAGCCGTTGATGAAACATTAGCCTATAAGATGAAAATAGCAATATATAAATTCAACGGTGATTCAATTATGAAATATGAATCCATGTCGGACTACACTCAAGACTGTATAACAAAGGAACGGCAGTCAACATACCTCGATAGTTATATTGGAGCAGTCGAATACAGGGATAGAAAAAATGAATACTAGCTTATTGAATTCTACTTACTTCCAAAGAGGAAAGACTTGCAATTCCTTTTCATCAAGAACTGAGAACACTGGGTTTATATTTTCAGTCATTGTAGCCTATTCCCTTGATTCCCTTGCAGTTCTTGAAAGTGGATCCAAGGGATCGATGATAAAGTAATCAGATCCGGATTCTAACAGTATCAGATCTTTTAGTCTTGTTAAACAGGTTTTTTGTATATCGTACCTGAAACGGTGTCTAATAATTACTATTTTGTACGCAGGTCATTTAAGATAAATACATTTTATTAATGGAAGAATTTTCAAGCAAACCGTACTTTTGACAAAAAAGGTCGCAAAATCACAAATTGACAAATCGTGAAGTAGTTCCTCTATAACATATTTTTGACCCTCATTACAAACGCATAATCCTCACTTAAAAGAACCCCCCCCCATTTCTTCACTATGATCTTTACTTTGGATATGGTCACCTGCGTAAAATTACTTCCCACCTGTTTTAAAGGCATCCTCACATATGAATGAATCCAGTAAACGCATCCTTGAGAATTGGGTAAATTGTCATTTCTGGCGATTGAGAACGTTAACACGCGAACCGAAGCGCAACGAAGCGCATACTTCCGAAGCCGTCCGAAGCTTTCCGAAAGGGTACTACGACATACGAACACCCCAACGTAAAATCTAATGGGAACGAATTTTACTCAAGTCCTTTTCGCAAGTTGACGTCGGACGTTTCGTTTATATATGAGGAGGCCTTTAGGTACTAGTATGAAACAAGATACCCTTTTTAGCGTATCAAACATTGAATTACAATTGTTACGATAACGTACGCTAGTGCGAAATGACGACCACGCGACGATTTTATTTGTCCCAATCCTGATGTCATCAATTTATTGTATAAAAATTATCTCTTCACTCTAAGGATGTTGAACGAGACAAATTCCATCCAGTATCCTATCCATTGTGAGCACTCTCGTATCCTTACGATCGCTGTTTTGTTAAATCATAATCCGGATGATTTTAGCATTAACTTGGTTGTATCACGAAGTACGCCGCTAGCTTGAAGCGTTACCATTTGAATATTGGAAAACGAAAATAGAATCTACCAAGCGTTTGGAATTGACATTAATTATATCTCTATAAACACAGAATTATTGATAATTCGTACCGATTAATCTAGTACAATTGTCGGAAATGGTTCATCCATCTTAATTTGCTTTGTAATTCACTGGACGTAAAACTCCATCATCAACGCGGTGTTATTCGATTTTATCTTGAGATGTTATTGAAAAGTAACCTTCTAGAACACGTAAAACTGCGACTTTCACTTAACGAAGCTTCTGTGATCGATTATTTTATGTTCGCTCAAATAAAGAGTTGATGATGTTCATTGTTTCGATTCAATTTTCACTGGTACTGCACTCGTTAACGCATGATCCGTTTCAAGATGACTGCGGTTCCGGTTAGAAAGCTCGGTGAGATTTTTAGTTTTCTTTGATTTCTCGATCAGCATAAATCATCATAACATGTTTGGCACAAACATGTACATGTATGAGCATCATATGTTTCTGGAAATCATCATAACATGTTTGGCACAAACATGTACATGTATAAGCATCATATGTTTCTGGAAATCCAAGTGATTTCGCACGAAATACTGTAGTTCGCGATCGCAGGATGACAGAATCGTCCATATTTTTCCTCAACTTTGTTACGTAAACGGAACTTCAAATATGGTTAAAATCTGCACTTTAAACCCGTTCCGTTTACGTAACAATTGTGAGGTATTAATCGACGATTTTGTTGTCTTCGGAATTACATGTTCGCAAACGTTTAGATTTTCTTAAACATATGATACTGACACATGTTTGTGATAAAAATTTCGTGGGAATTCTGCCTAGCTACCGTACAACTCGTAAAATAAGAAAAGGGGAAAATGGTACCTTCGAGGATCCTACATTTTGTTACCGAAACGGATCCGGATCAAAATTGAAATCAAAAGTGCATAAAATGCTTGGAACATAATTGCAATAATGCGACGTTATATCTCAATTACCACAGGGCTCAATAGACAGCTGCAAATTATAGCCGTTCCACTTGTCCTTAAATATGATTGTAAATTCCACACTGTTTTGAAAACATTTACTACCAACTCGAGAAAACGTGGAATTGTGTCATTCCTTGCTAAACAAAAGGCTATTGATGTAAAGCTATCGATGTTCGAAGGGGATATAAGAAAGCCGTCCGTTCGTCCTTCCGTGTGTCCAGGCGATAACTCAAAAACCGAATGATGGATTTGATTATGTTTTGGGTGTAGTACCTCTGCTCGAGAAGAAATTTTCAATATGGCTGCTCTCGCATTGACGGGGTTAAATTCAAATACTATTTCACGGATTTACTGCCTTGGGACAAATGAGTTTTGCTCGACGAGAGATTTTTAAGATGGCATTTGAATTTTAAAATGGCCGCCATTTTCGTCAAAAAGTAACTCTGATAACTCAAATACAAGTGAACGAAATTTGTATAATGCTGCCTAAGGACACAGTCGCTCTGTTCGAGAATACCTTTTCAAGTTGGCGACTGAATTTCAATATGGCTACCATTTTTGTGAAAAGCGTAATCTTTCATAGTGAACGGAAATTGGCTTCAACTGTATGCTGATGCCTCGGGACACAGTAACTCCATTTAAGAAAGAAATTTCAAGATTGCGGCTGAACTTCAAAATGGCCGCCATTCTTTCGTAAAATAACGTAACCTTTGGTAAAAATATTGGTCCAAATTTTATATGTTGATGCCAAGGGACGAAGGAACTCCGTTAAAGGAGACATTTTCAAGATGACCACTAAATTTCAAAATGGCAGCCATTTTTCAGAAAAACGTAATATTTGATAACTCAACTACTCGTGGACGGATATGTTCAAATTTTATATCTTGATGCCCAAGGACAAACAAGCTCTTCTACAGAAGGATTTTCAAGATTAAATTTTAAAATGGCTGCCATTCTTCGTTAAAAACGTGCGTAATCGTTGATAACTAAAATACTAGTTAAAGGATTTGGTTCAAATTTTATATGCCGCTACCTGGAGACGAAGGAGCTTTGCTCAAAAAGACATGTTCGAGATATGGCAGCTGAATTGCAAAATGGCCATCATTTTCGGACAAAAACATAGTATTCGATAACTCGAATACCAGTTAAATATTGTTCGGTGGGATTTGCTACTTCGTGGAGTTGCTGTTTTCTAGTTATTTTCGAGAAATAATCACAAACGCAGACCATTTACATGAATTGAACATTACGATATTTGTTCATTTGTCTGTTTCTGTTTCAATCAAATACGATTGGACCGAATGGTCCATGTGCAGTATGGCAAGTGATTTTAGACAGTCATATCTTTCACCATGAGTACTTTCTGTGCATAAAGACAGTCGTTTTTTATTAAAACAAAATGTATTGTTTCAAGTGAAGTACCCATGATGATAAAAATATCAATCGAACATTTCGAAAAATTATGAATAGGGACCCCATGTCAACAATGTTTTCAAAATGTTGAACCTATTTACTAAAAAGAGGATCTCCTTTTTCTGATTTTTATTGCATAAAAATATTATTCAAAAAGGAGTCTAAAACTTCTTCAAAAGTAGAATGGTATTGAAAGTCTAATTTTAAAAATATCAATTTCCGATGAGCAAAATTATCCCTATGGGAAAATAACATGGGATATGTGGTTTTTAACTTTAACGCATTTCAATACCAATCCCCTTTTCGGAAGTTGTAAATATAGTGTAGAAGAAACGTTTGCTATGGTTAAATTAAGAAAATCAAGATCCTCTTTTTAGAAAATAAGCCTAACATTTTTAAAAAAGTGCCGAGATGCAAATGGGGTCCTAATCCATAATTTTTCAGAGAGTTGGATTGATGTTTTACTATCACGGGAACTTCACTTGAAAGAAAACATGTTGTTTTTATAAAAACCACTGTATTTATGGCCAGAAAGTACTCATGGATATATCTTCCAATCATATTTTCCCTATTCAGTCAAAAATGCTGAATCTGAGAGTCGAAAAATTATTTGTGTTTGATGTATTTGAAATACCATACGAGTGTTAAGAAAATTTAAGAGCGTGAAATTGGTAGAGCATAAAAATGTCGATGTTTTTACGGGGTCCGCGCATTTTACCGAAAGGCCATAAGAAGTCGATTCTTTGTTTTGCGTCCTGGCAAAATCAAAATCATACAAGGGTACAAGGAAAACAAACACAAACTCAAAAAAACACTAACTTGTTTGCTGAAAATGTATACATTTTATGGGCATAAAAAAGGGATGACATACCAATTTTTAGTGATTACAAACACATATCTATACATTTAATATATTTAAATATAGCTATTATTCAATGGTAACAAATAAGAAAAATACAGGATGTATACCAAACTAATTAATAACACTGTCAATTTTGATGCACGTCAAATTATCTGCCATTAATTTTTTCTGATTCTGATTGACGTCTGATTCAGACCCTTGTGATTGCTATTTGGATGTGTTTGTTTTTTCTGATTTACTCAAAATCGATATCGTGCAAGCAAGCGGACGCAAAACAAAGAATCTACTTCTTATGGCCAAACCCATTATACCGACGCGCATTGTACCGACGCGCATTGTACCGAAAGGCGTTAACCGTATGTCATAATCACTGTTCCACAACTAGTTACTTTGACGGAACGTCAATGTAACAAAATGGATGAACTTCCTGGTTTCGATTTTTTTGCTTTCTCGATTTTTACTA